TGGGCCACTCCCACTCAGTCAGTGTAGTTGCACTTTTAGGGGTGGTTCTAGCCACGCCATCTATCCGTACCCATCCTCTTCTGAATTTCGGTATTCTTTACTTGGTCCCGGCATCGGACCCAGGTGGAGGAGAGAGGGTGAAGTGGATGGAAGGCAAGTCTACAACCCCTGTAATCTTGAGTGTCCCCGTGCTTCTGCTAGCGTTTCCTGTGGACATACTGTGGATCTCGACTCGACGGTTAAACATTCCAAGTCAAATGATAAACTAGATAGTATTAGGAATAGAGGTTTTCAACTTAGTGTCTTCCTACATCGGCCGTACCACAAAGGGTGGAGTACAAAGTAGGGCGCTTTTCTTTTTTTTTCTGCAGTCAACTTGAGATTCGAATATAATGTACCCATGATATTTATTTGCTCTCCAATTGCACCCATTTTTTGCTTTTTTCTTTCAGTTTGCATGAACTACTGGTGGATTATGAAAAGGTTAAGGCTCAGATCCCAGTCATCCTTCAGCGAGTTCTGCAACCGAGCCGGGAGAAATTCGAAAAGACCCTCTATCCCGGACTGTTAATGCATAACTGGAATTCCCTACTTCTAAATCAATGTGAGTTTAAGAAATTGTCATTTACTACTTACAGTATCGCGAGTGATGCATGAAAAATGTCTAATTTTGGAAAAGTTTGGGCATTTCTCGCGAACCGGTGTGAATGCATTTAGAGAAAGTCAGAAATAATAATAAACAGCACTAGGCAGATTTAGTACTTGAAAATAGTACAAGAAGTATAAAGTATTTTTTAAAGAAAAATTAAACTTTCTCGATTATCCCCTAGTTCCGGAGAGAGAAGAATTGCTATAACTTTGAACAATAAATTTAAATATTTTCTTAAGTTTAAAACCTAAAGTAACAACTTTCGTTATATAAAAAGAACGTTTCTCTAGCCAAACTTTTATACATATTACCATTAATGGATAACTAGTTATTTAATATCGTCCTTTAAATTCGGTTATAATTTCCAGCGTTTGTAGTAGTAGTGTTCATCCATCAACTGAGGTTCCGTTCGACGTTAACATCAAAACATTTAAAATACGAAATATATCAAGAACATTTACCGAAAAAATGAGTTTTTGGATATTAGTTCTTATAAATCTGGCCTTGTGGACCATATTTAGAAATGCCTCAAAATTTTTGTTACTGCATTTTGTGCAAAAAAGTGACAGCTTAGCTAAACATAATTTTTAAAACATAAATAGTTCCTTTTATCTGAACTTGACCTCACTTGCACCTGAACAATTTCGGAATAAATTTTCCGGTTCTGAAAGGGATATGTCGTACTCTTTTTTTTACATATTTTGGAATTCTCCTAGAAAATAATACGTATTACTAAAAAGTTTGGTTCTGTCGTACTTTCTAGCATATAAAATTCCTTCGATATATGACGACTCCCAATTTCACCAAAATTAATGCACATTGCTCTGAATAAACATAACTAAATGGGCGATTTTCCAACCAAAAAGCTTCGGAGAGTTAAATCTACTCAGAGAATGAGCATAATGTGACCAAATATATGCTAAACTTCCAAGTTAACTTTTGTCATGAATTTTGCCTGCAGCATTTGCCATACTGTACAAACTGCCAGTAAACAATTTTACTTGCTTATACTGAGTCACCTTTTTAGTTCTTAAGTCGGCCACCGAAGAGTTGGAACAGTTCAGCCAAATGACCAAAAAGGTTTCGGATATCCTCGAGTGTCGCATTGAAGATGTATTCGATCAGATGAGTAACACATCGCTTTGCGAAGTGTCTGAGAAAGGCACGTTATCTGTGGATGAGTTTGTTAAAATAACCCAAACGACAGTGGCCAAAGCCAAAATTCAATTAAACAGGTCAGTTCTGATGTTTGGATTTACTTGAATTTAAAGCACTTTTGCCCTGGTACAATTTTAAAATTAAATTTCGTTAAATTCGAGTGCTCATCAGCTGCTTCCTCTCGTTGCATAAGGTGGATAACGTAAGATAAATTCCAAAATTTAATTCATACAGAAAAATTGATGCAAATATATAAGGCATAGGAAATGGCCAAGAAGGCTAATCAATAACTTAAGAAAGTTAAAGCATTGTGGGCAGCAAAATCGCGTAAAAACGTCTAAGACAAAAAGTTGGAAAAGAGAGAAATATCAGGGAGCCAGTGTTATCACGGAAGTGTTAGGTTCAACACATGCTCCAACTGTTTACATAGGTCGGATTTAAATCGCCGTACTTCCAGATAGCGTAAGGTACGGGTTGTTCGAGCCATGACAAGTATTTGGAAAGAAGTTTTAGGATCCACAGAATGGCCTGTATCGATGAACGAGGAGTTCTGCTTTCTTGTTTTAATAACCAACTAGGTAAGTGCTCCGTGGATCTGGCTGCAAATTGCCGTTGCGTTCGCCCTATGTACATCCATCCGCAAGTGCATATTAACTCTTAAACACAATTAGAAGTGGCGTGCAGTGGCAAGGCACCCTGTGCACATGGAATCGGTAAGGGCTTAGTTGGACTGCAAAATATGAGTTCAGCAGCATATTATGTCCTTTTAATGGCGTAAAATATGGCGGCTGTTGATGGTATTTAAAATCTTGGGCAAGGATATGAAGACAGTCTTTTTCTAAACTGACCGTTCCGTCATTTGAGGCCGCAAGGGTTTGCTGTACTTATCTATAAACTGTGCTGGATATCCACGCTTGTGTAAAGTTCCTTTGTGGCTGGCTATTTATGCTTGCAATGTATCCACAGAGCAGATTTTTCCGTCCTCTGGAAGAGGGTACATACCAAGTTGTGTTTCCATTGAATAGGAATAAAACTAAAATAAGGCGAGTACTGTCCTTTACACCTATCCTCATGGAAAACAGTTCGTGTAATGGAGCCATCTTTTTTCTGGACATTTGAATGTCTAGGAATGAAAGCTAGTTCTCCCGTTCCTGTTCCATAGTAAATTTAATCTTGGGATGCAAAATGTTCATTGTAAACAATAATCCTTCAGCTTCCTTTATGTTTTCAACGATCGTGAAGACGTCATCAACATATCTTCTGCAGAATGTTGTCGTGCTCAAATTGGTGGATATTTTTTCTTCTAAATGGCCCATAAATATTGTTTTTTCGTTTGCAGGCAAAGCAAGTCAGTAGAGGTCGCCGTCAATGATATTATTGCTATCCTGACTGAAAACCTTTCGGAGGCGGAAAAAGCTACCTTATCGCCAAGGCTGGGCTTTGCCTGTACAGCCGGTAGGAAACAGCGTTGCCATGAGTGCTTACCTTGCGCCTACAACGCCATGATCCAGCGGACATCCCAACGCAATACTGACGTCCTTATTACATGTAAGTGGTCCTCACTGCAGTCTTTGTCATTAGGCCCTCAGATCGACATATGCACGTAAATGCGTATCGTACCACAACAGCCATTGCCTATCTCCTCTAATTATTTCGTACATCTTACCTACTTAAATGTTTACAGTAGGTAAATTTATTTCGTCTGCCTTTCTGTCCGCAATTTTTCGCCCCAGGCACTCGGCTCACACTGCAGAGGCTGAGAAACCGGATACAGTCCTCCATGCCCGTTTTTGCATCTGGCAAGGAAACAGGAAATATGGCAGCTTTCTTCTCACTTGATCTCGTTCTGGAACTTCCCAATGTTATTGTACGCCCCAGCTTGGAAGACATCCAATCTGCCGTCTCCAAGGCCACTCAAGTGATACTTATGATGGGTGACGGTATCCAGACATGGCGTTATGTCCGTCAGCAACAGTTAAAAGTCCATGTAGGTTTTGGGCGGAAGTTTGCGCAAATGGATGTTCAACGAAATTTTTTGTAGTTTACTTCCAGTACCCATAGATTTCTTCATAAAATAAGCCGCCTTCTTGTCTAAACTGTGCACAAATTTCTCTTCTGTAATACACCTCCTATGTCTACTAGATGCAAGAACAGGCTAGCCCAGCACTGCCTGCACGTGGGCAAGAACGGATCCCGTCTGCAAGTCATGTCCCTTCAAGTCAGGTCAAGTCGCTTCAAAAGGTGATCATGGAGCACAAGGCCGTGCTGAAACAGGTCGTCAGTTTAAACAGTGCCATCTCGGCCTTCCAGACAGACGTTAAGGCACTGAAGAACAGTTTTTCACAGTTTTCTGAACTCTGGACATCGGTATGTCTACTTGCATTATATCAGTCTTCTGTCCAAACTTTATTACCTATCGATGTTTCCCACTTACGACTCTATCCTAACCAAAAGGGAGATCAAAGGCAATTCCTTACTTTTCTTGTACTAAAAGTGGGTTGAAATTAACTGTTAGCCTCACTCATGGCATTTCGACAGATGCAATTTCGCGATCAAAATATGATTCAGTAGTTTAGCTATATTTTGTCTTGATATGCGCAAAAAATTTGAGGTCCAGACATAATATTTCTTTCATCATCCCCGGAAGAGGAAGAAGAAGAAGGGGCGATTTCTGGGACCAGGTTGTATTTAAGCTGACGTTTAAAAAGTTTTCTCGCTTCCATCGTCAGAGCGTGGTAACCGTTCTCCCGTTGGTGTCCGTAAGCGTGTCCGAACGTGAGCCTGAAGTCTGAAGCCCGTGTGTCAATCGAGTGTACCGATCGATTTTTGTGGCTGTTTTAATTGCTTGCGCCCTCGCGGGCGCTTCCATGACGTGCATTAAGTCATTTGTGTGCATCTTGAGCGTTTCGTCTTCTTCGCTCGTGGCTGCCGGCTGTCGGCCCTGCA